CTATTTTGACATGTGCGTTTTAAAGCGAGAGGGTCGTCACTTGCGCACATGCGCACATGCGGGAATTGAGTTCTAAGCGACGATAACAACACACGCTAAAAATGCAAAGGCTCATGGGTAGACGCTTGTTTGTAAACAATGACACGCTATGGCCATCTGACGCATGCGCAAGTGATGACTCCCCCACTTTAAAAGACATTGTCAGCAAGGCAAACATGCCCTCTAGAGTTTATCTTGAGATTCAACAGCGCGAGTGTGAGAGAAAGAGAAGCAAAACAGTGTACGGTATTGTTTGTGACTGATTGCTGGCAATTTTTTCAGAAAACCCCAAGTTTGTTTGATGATTTACAAGATTTTACAATTGTAATCTTACAGTAAAAGGCATAAAGCTGGGGAAGTTATAAATGTTTTATAAATATAAATTTTAATGAATCAAAATTCAAATTGATCAATCAAGAAATAATATAATGGCGTGTTCTAATTAATGTTCAACATTATTCAATCAACATGCCCTTATTATGTTATATGCATTTGCTATTTGACTTGAAAGCTTGCACCTGCATTATGGTCATAGAACGAGTGGAGCTCTCATTATTAATCATATACTAGTATTTGAATGAAAGTGTATGATGAGTAATCCTGTGTACGTGAACTTACAAATAGACTAATACACAGTACTTACCGAGCATTACTGAACTTCCTATTTGTGAAAAAGCTAATTCGAATCTTCCTCTCTGTTGTTTTTGTCCTTCAGGTAAAATAAATTCAGATCCCTACAAAATGAAAAGTTATTGTCTGATATGTGAAATTGTATAATGACATGGATCACATTTGGTCATCTAATCTGATTAAAATCATATCTTTTGAGGCTTTTATTCCAATTAATTTATTTTATTTAAGCCAAAATTTTTTTTTAATTTTCTGCTTGTGAAAGCCCAAAAATCAAACAACCCCCATAATAAGATTTTGTTCGCCAGATCTAAAATAACTAGCTTAGTCAACCAATCAGAGAAGGCCTTGTATACAGTGATTCTGTTGTTTGTGGATATATATTGCCTTCCGTAATTGGTTATCTGAGTTTGGAAGCTGTTCAGATCTTTGGGCTTTCACAATCATGAAAATGTTTAAAAAAAAGCCCAATTATATAAGATATGATTTTTATCAGATTTTAGGCCTTCTTACCTGATTGATGAATCTTGGGTCTATATTGAGGTAGGGTGAAAAAGTACTTGATCCAGCAGTAACTAGAAATGCAAAAAGAATATGCTTAGAGAGGTGTGGTAACAATTAGATTGTGATTGGATGATAGATTCTAAAACCTTGGATTTGAATGACAAGAAATCTGGTTGTTGTCCCTTAAACAGGATTACATTCTCTTGTCATCACACCCACCATTGCAATCACCGTAGTTATGCAGGTCTTAGGATCAGTGGATGTGATAGGAGGTGAGAAAATAAGTCTTGTGGCTCTAATGTCCATGAAATTGTTGACTTGATTTGAATAATACACACACTGTAGTTGCACAATCCACAGCAAATGCACTTATGTCTATGGTCAAAATAAGTCATCTTTAACATGTGCATGTTGGTTTATTTGTGCTTCTATTTACAGATGCGCTTTTAGCAGAGCAAATATGCTATATAAATTTTTGCAGTTTCAGACAATTACAGTCCAGACCAGTACATTTGCATTTGTGGTATCACAATAAAAACTTGTGTTTTTGCCCTGATTACAATGTCTCATTTCAGCTTGTAATCAAAGACTCCATTCATCTGTAAACTGTAGCTGCAACCAGTCAGAAAGTGCATTACTACATTCACATTACAGGATCTTGGCACTCGCCACATTTTTCAATCATTTATGTTTGGAGAGGGATTACAACAGTTGCATTTACGGACACACTTGGCTCATGCCAAAATCACGCCCTCATTTGTTGACAAAAACAAGGTAGAAGACAAGGATACAATGATCTATTTCAACACATGCACAATTGTCCAGACAAAGTTGTACTGGGATATTTGTATTGGATTCAAAAAATTATTGCATGGCTCACTCTTGTAATGTTGGAAAGTTGTAACATGCCGACTGACGGGATCATGTGCTAAAAAGAGACTGGTCAACTGGTAAAAAAGACACAGTCACTGTGGGCTGAAAATCAAAATAAAACTGTTAAATTATTTATTTTCACTGGCATTTAATTTCACTATGCTGAGCATATTCACTGTGTTTTAATTTCACGAATTTGTCAAGAAAACAATGAGTTTTATTCTTATATCACATGTACATGTAGGTTTCATTTAGCAGATTTTACTTAGTGAATAAATTAATACTCTTACAGCAATATTTAATTTTAAATTTGCCTTGATTTTTCATGCAGAGTATCGATGAAAAATCATGAAAAATTTAATAATATGTAGTGCTGATCGATTTAGCTCTCAAGTGAATGAGCAATCACGGTCCCTCAATTCGTCATATCTAGCCTGTGGTGCAAAGGACGGAAAAAGAAGGATGTTGTGAAACATATTTCAAAGGATATGCTGCGAAAATGACAATGACATCGGACCAAACAACAGCAAGTGGGAATTTTAAAACTTGTAAACACAGTTTCAAGTGACCGTGGCATTGTCATGCCGCAGCACTGTGTACGTGACGCAGATTTGGTTCAGTCTTGGTCACGATGGTTTTCCAGATCGGATGAGATGACTCGAGACAACTGTACTAACCTGGAACGTTCAGCGATGGATCGGACGCTCCATAACTTCCAAGCAATCCGGAGCCATATGCCGAATATGACTGGTTGTCCATCTCACGAAAAAACGCCAGTATTTCGCGAAAATAGTCAAATTACGCCGGCACTAGAGAAATACGAAACAGTTCTGCAAAACGCATGCGTGAAACCCATAATGCAACAGAATTTTCAGTCTCGATCACAAATGTCCTGAATTGTAGAAAACAAATATTGTTCTTTAAAGTGAATTTTGACAAATAATGTTATCCCATCGTTTTTATAATTGAAATATCTATGTTCAAATTTGAATAATATAACACATTTTAAATTTTTATATTAAATTAAACAAGTTATGGTAAATTACATCCAGAATGAGGTTCGTCAACTTTGACCCCGAGGTCAAATGCCAATAATTAAATAAACGCACGTGTAAAGCTAAAGTGGAACTACTGACAAACTTCACTAAAATTATCACTGAATTTGTGTTATTTAGAATACATGTTGAATAACAGTCTGTGACATGTATCCAAGAACTAGTTGAGTAAGCAAACACAAGCTTCTCGTGACTCGCTGGACACGGTAAGATAACCCAATATAAGTTGTACGTTCGAGTCTTACGTAATACATTTTGTATTTGTAGTTTACAACTTCGGTTTACCGCAAGTGTACGTCGTAATATATGAAGTAACATATGTTGGAGCTGGTTTATAGTGTCCGTGTGTGTTCCAGGTACATCCCCATTCTGTATAGTGTGTACAATACACTGGGTGCCACTTCGTAAACTTACATTGCAAAACAGTTGGCAAACCAACTGCATGTAACTGTTTTAATAGCTGGCTGTGTCAGTGTATGAATTTTAAATTAAATTTGGTGTCAGTTTTCAACGCGTCGGATCATACCATTTTAATATTACTATTATACTATTATTATAAGGGATGCAAGTTGAAACGAGAAAATACACAAAAATACACTAACCTTGAACCTTGAAGACAAATTTCAATTCTACATTAATGGAACACAACTTTAATGTGTGAATTTTTATAACTACCTTGGCATCACTTTTCAATCATATGGGAAATTTAGTGCAGCCACTGCAAGGTCGTATGAAAAAGCTCACAAAACAGTGAGTCTAGCCTGTAAACTGTTTGATTCTGTTATTAAACCAGTTATTCTTTATGGGTCAGAGGTTTGGGATAGTTTTCTGACAAATCTACATGTATTTAGCGGAACTGGCAATAGCAAATCAGAGATTGATAATACTGTTTTTGTATCAAAGCTATTCTCTGACAAAATATCACCAGAAAAACTTCATATAAAGTTTTGTAAGAGAGTTTTGGGAGTAAACAGGAATGCATCAAATATTGCTTGTAGAGGTGATCTTGGTCGTTTCCGACATGTAATTGATGTTTGTACTACTATCATAAAATGTTATCAATGGTTGTCTTATAAGAAAACAAACGACATAATTAAAGAAGCTGCATTCAAAGAAAGTAGTGGGTTTAAATACGATCCTTGGTATAAATTTATCCAAAAACTTCTACAAATTACAAATATGACAAACATGGATACTAATCAGGCAAATTTTTGAAATCTGTTTAAAGAAAGGTTAAACCAAATTTACTCAACAAATGTGGAAAGTCATTTGAACAAAACTGGTCATAATAAATTAAGTACATATAAAACATTCAAAAATAATTATAAATTTGAAAAATATCTGGATGATATAAAAAATGAAAAACACATTAAGTAGCATTAACCAAATTCTGTATTTCAGCCCACTTCTTGTCAATTGAAATAGGTCGTCACAGGGGAATAAATAAATTGACAGGGTATGTAACAAGTGTGACTCTAATGATGTGGGTGATGAAAAACATTACTTTTTTCATTGTGAACCTAACAGTTTTTCAGAACACAGGGAAAAAATCCTCTATGCACTATTTATATACTCACTTGATTATCAAATCTTGCCAAATGGAGAATTGTTAATCAATGTTTTCTCAAATGGAGACAAATATGTTTGTAGTATTTTAGCTAATTTTGTATTTCAGATTCTAAAATTATTTTAGATTAGTTGTTACTTTATGTTTCTTATCTTGGACTTTATTCAAGTATTGTTTTTGTGTATGTTCCAAATAAAATAACACTAAGATGTACCAGTTTCAAGTAATCTATTTGTTGATACAGAAAAAGGACCCAACATATTCTGGTCTGGTGCAACTTATTCTTGAGATGATTAATTGCTTCATTGGAATGCCTGGACTTTCTAGTTTTGTAGCAAAATAAATGGGATGATTGATACATGTATGTGTAATATTTGGTCATGGGAGTTGATAGCAGGTTACAGGAAACAAAAAAGCATTTTACGTTTTTACAGGAAACAAAATGAAAGTTCCATTTACAGTAAAAAATAGGTTTCTACACTTTACAGATAAAGTAAATTCCAAATTACTTTTTTATAATATATTTGATAATTTATGTTTATGGATAAAAATTTGAAATTGCATGATACAAATTACAACATTTAATGTGGGAAATGCTTTATACGCTTACAAAAAATAAGATCCTTGTACAAATGGGGGACAAATAAAATAGCTGATTACATTTTACAGTTTGCCTATGTTTACAAATTTTACCTTTTTTATTTATTTAAATTACATTATTACAAAAATAAAAACAATTGATTACAGCTTACGAAATACCCCTTGCCGACGCTCCTTAATTTTCACACAAAACACAAACATTTAAGAAAATAGATGACATTGCGGATGACTTTTTGGCGATTTCCTTTATACATAATATCATGTAGAACATTTCGTGCTGGAGACCAAAATGAAAGTTCTCTTCTTTCATGAACAAAATAATGAATAATTAATTCACATATACCAATTAATAATGCTGAAATTTTTTCTCACAAATGTATACTAACCAGGGTTGTTATAAACTATGTACCGGGTATGTATGATATTGAAACTGGGATAGGAAAGTCTAATACTATATATTATACATTTGTATAAGGTTTTGTCTCTTTGCAGTTTTTCAAGAGAATTAATCACTGTCGACTATAGTGTACAAAAATTATGGACCCAGAACAAGACATGGAGGATATCAACATTATGAAACACCAAGAAAAAGATTGTAATCTCGCTATTTATGAAACTGACTCACAAATGAAGATTACAGATGAGTGTTTTGATGTAAATAAACTGAATAGCACAGGTGCTCTGCTAGAAAATCACACCAGTGCTGTAATAGTGACTGGTAATGTAGAAACAGTAGAGAGTGATGTTATTCCACTAAACACGTTGGGTACTTCAGGGAAAGTCTGACACAAATGTTGAACTGAACCAATCAAATACATCTACAATCGGAGTAGTGTTGGATAAATTTGATGGAAATGTTGATATTAGGCCAACTGAGTCGGTCAAAATGGATACAAATTTGAATATTAAACCACCTAACTTGAAGATTGAACAGCAGTCGATGCAAATGGATGAGGATGTAAAGATAAGTCCAATCAAGTTAGAGATTAAAGGAGAGTTCGATAGAAATGCCGAAGATGTGTGTAAAGTGGATAACTGCGTTGCGCTAGTGAAATATGAAATTGATTCAAGTGACGACTCGTCCAGCTCCTCTGATGACGTAGTGTCATGTTCATCTTCTGATGTTGAGGTTGATATTAAAAAGTAAGTTAACTAAAAACTTTTTTTTATTATGAATAATTGTTGTGCATTTTTTTTTAATGAAACATCTTTTTTTTTTATTACTTTGTTTAAAATTGAAAAAAATAACCTCGAAGCATGACCTTTAGGAACTGATGCACTTGCTGCATGTGCAACCAGAAACAGATCTCATTTTTGTTGTTGGCCTTAATGGAAATTAGTTAGATACAGTGAACTTCATGAAGGCATGATTGTTTATGAAAATTTACAGAATATTTATAAAACATTAAACATTTTGATTGGTCAAGTTGTTTTCAATAGTCATTTGCATTCACAGCCTCATGAAATTTACTGTATTAAGTTTGCATTGTTAAGGTTGAACTAAATACTGTAAAAATTCAAGAATTGAACAATTTGATAAATGTATT